ATGCTCAGTGAAATAAGCCAGAGAAAGACAAATACCATATGATTTCACTCCCGTGGAATTGTCACATCGCGCGGCTGGCTATAGGGGCCACGCTGCCATGGGGGAGCGCTGCAGAGAGCGCAGCGCTTCCTGAAACCTGCGGGAAACCGTCTGGGGCCCGCTGAGGTGGGAGCAGGGCTCTGAAACCCACAGAGCCCGTCCCGGGGTCGCCACGGATGAGGGGCACCAACGCAAACGTACAAACACTTCTCTGTTTGCCGGGAGAGCAGACAGGGCCACTTCTCTCCTACCAGAGGAGGCCGTGGCGCATCCCCCTAGTGGGGAAGGCCCCGTTGCCCCTTCTTCCAAGGCTTTTATTGACAATCTTATCAGTGGGGTATAACAGGAAAGCATATGTATACTCATTACATTCGCAAGATAAGTTTCACAGAGAATAGATACCTTTAGAAAAACAAGTGACAGGAAATCAGTGATTTACATGGGTCTGAGAAGGAACAAGGCGGGACAGGCCAAGTCTCCTCAGGAGCCTGTTTCTCCAAGGCCTCCCGGTTATCTCCAGCCTCAGGGCCCTCCAGCCTGTCGGCAGGGTTACAGCGTCTGAAACCAGGCCGGGCGTTTCCCAGCATGGAACCTAATGAACAACCTGAACTAACAAGCAAAGTAGAGACAAACTCGTAGAGAGGAGGCTGACAGCTGGGGTGGGAGGGAAGGGGGTGGGGGGATTGAGCCAAAAAGGAAAAGGATTCATGGACATGGACAACAGTGTGGTATCACAGGGGGCAGGGGGTGGGTTGCGGTAGAAGAGGGTAGAAGAGGGATAAATGTAGTGAGAAAAAGGTACAGTGGGCCTGCACTAGGAAGTCAGGCTTCTGGAGGCCACAGAGCCTGCTCTGTGTGGAGCCGCCCCGGTTTAGGCCGGCCGCCTTGGCCGATTTTCTGAAAGAGCTCTTGTTCCCACGAAGCAACTCAGCATAGCTGGTAAGTCTGCTGTGTCCTCCGGCAACTACCGTGTCCAGCTGGCTTGTCCTTCCAGCATTGACTTTGCCTTCTCTGCACTGTTCCTGCATCACTTGGTCCTTTTAATTTTTCTCCAAGTTTCTCTTCAAATTGTCCTGTATGTAGGATGATATCCAGGACTGACCGTGCCGGCAAAAACCAGCCTGCGGTCTTCATTATTAGGTTTGATATCAGCAGGGTGAGTGATGTGTTTTTGGTGTAATTGTAACCCTCTGGTTTGTATGATTCTGGGTTTTCCTCCACTAGAGGAGTAAGACGTATACACTTGCGAGACAAACTGGAGGAAAGAGCAAAGACCGTGTCTAGCAGCTTCGCCTGTTTGATGCCCTGACGACATTGTTTTGGCCACTACGTTGAGTCTCGCAGGCAGGGACTGTTGGTGACTCCCTGTGCTCCCTGCCTGAGTGGGGAAGTGAGGCAAGCCCTGCAGGGAAAGACGGTGTTTCTGCTGATACTTTTAGGGAGATTATAGCAGTGCCCTGCTTTGATCGATTCAAGGAGAATGATACATTCTTGCCTAGAATGTTTTTGCTATTTGGTACTTTTCCCTGGTAAAAGAAGTTGCTACTTTTAGGGTGATTCTGCCATGTATATACTTGCATGTTTCTTTAAAAATATATCTGCCTATAATTATATTTGTGGAACACACTTTCATCCACCTGGATTTTAGAACGTTTCCCTTTAACATAGTTTATTTCTTGCCTGTTTTGGTTGGTAGAGGATGGCACAACCTTTGCCTGACCCCCCACCTTCACAGACCACGCTGCTTGGATTCTGTGCTTGCCCGTTGTTCATGCTGTATTTTGAAAAGGGCTCAGGGAAGGTCGGCCATGATTCCGAGAGTTCTCAGCGGGAAAACGCATCGGATAAGTCAGTGTCGGGCAGACCGTCGGGGGTGATGGTTCTACAGAAGCGATCCCAGCTGGGGGTCGCTGTTTGGCAGTGGGCCGCAGGTGCAGCTCATCACTTCCGTGACATTGAGCGGACCCAGAATGCAGGCTTGGGGGGGAGTGTCCTTCCTCCTTCACAGTGGTGTCTGTCTTTTTCCTCAGAAGCCTTGGGGTGGCAGAAGTCCACGCTGTTGAGACTGAAAGGTGTGGGGACAGGGGTCTGTTTCAGAAGCAGCAGCTTGGGTGATCACTGTGGATGGGAACCTTAGCATCTGGATATGGGGGAAGGCAGTCTCCTGTTGGAGTAAGAGCTGGAACCCTGCTGATGTACATTAATGGAGATTGGCACCAGAGAGAGAGTGCGCTGCGCGGTGCGGTGCGGTGTGTACCGCAGAAGCAGTGTGTGTGTGCATGGTGCGTGCAGCACCTGCGGGGGGTGTGCTGCAGAAGCAGGGAGCACGTGCTGTGCGTGCAGGGTGTGGTGTGTGCTGCAGGAGCAGTGGGTGTCTGTGGTGTGTGCAGCACATGGTGGGGGGCCTTGTGGCCCCTTCTCTGTATGGTCTCCAAGGAGTTCTTCGGCCCCCACAGTAATCGAAGAAGCTTTCTTTTTGCTTTTTTTTCATTTTCATGGTTCTTGTTTTGTATTTTAGAAAATAAGAGTTTTCCTTGGTAGAAAATAATGATGGATGGGTCAGTTTTTACAAGAGAACTTAAGGCTGGGTGTGCAAGATTCAGAGTATATTTTTTGTTTTGTTTTTTGTTTTTTGTCAAGCTTTGTCTGCTTTATTTCACTACATTAAGCTAAGCAATAAGGCAAAACAGGAAATCTGTCAGTCATAAAGATCAAGTGCCTCTTATTCCCAAAAGGGACCGAAAAGGATGTTTCTTCACAAATATGCATGACATTTAGATCATTATGGCTATAAACACTTTGAACAAAAGAAAGTTTTGGTGGGCTAATCAAGTCACAAATCCAAATTAACTTCGCCTTAAATTTCCAATATTGTAGTCTCTCCTGCTAATGGCCTCTAATTCGCCTGCAGTGGTGCACGATGACTATGCATTAAAAATCCTGCACGGCATCTTATATACAAAAGCAACAAATAAAATTCCAAATTTACCAGCTGCAGGTGTTGAATCATTTCTACTAACACACAGAATACCAGCTTGCGCTGAAAACTATCCTGAGGATGTATTAAACCAATGACCCTGTTGTTCTGCCGGTTAATTTGGCTTCTGAAGGGAATAAATTCTATGATCAAAAGTGATTTTGTGTTTGTGTCGCAGGGGGATGATGAGACCCATTAAGAAGAGCATTACTTTTGGGAACAAATACCAGCTACGTGCCATAAATGCATGACATACAACTGCGTGTGTAGTCTATGCAAACGTGTAAACTGAAAAAGCTGTTTTCTACTTTGATGCCCTTTCCTCCACGGGCAAATGGGAGCCGTGGCTCCACAGGAGGTTCTAGCAGATAGTGAAATACAAATTAACTTGACACTCCGTGGGGTCACAACACATTAAACTATTTCCAGAGTTTGCAAATTTATAATTACACAACCTCTACCCCAACTTTTAAGAGGATAAATCTTACTTATTATTGTCATAATAGTAACACTGCAGCATGTATATTACTCTGTGGAATACTGTTTCTTAAAATTGGCTTGATCTTAAGAATATGAGGAATATGCCTTAGTGTCTTTCAAAGGCTCCCTAAATACGTTTTTATCTTCCCGAGCAGCTGACAAGATACAATGTCCTATCTGTATTTCTAGATTGCTACGTATCTTAATTTTTTCTCTTTAAACTAAAGGCTTGAACTTAAAAAGAAAACCAGGGTAAACAGGAAATTTCTCTTTTCACCAAAATCTATTGTCCACGTGCTAACAACGCATTTACAGAAAATGTGATGCGGCTGGTGGTCTACTTTGTCAAGTCTCACTTTAGAAAACATCACAGAAATTAAGTAAACAACCCAACTCCAGGATACGGCGTGAAAACAGAATGTGCTGTTAGGCGCGTGTTCTGGGCTACTTACTGAGCTATGTTCTTTATGGTTTACAATCAATATGGTCTTATTGGACATTTATGATAACAGTCAAACTCAGGAAGGGGAAAGCTTCTTGTTCTTAATATCCAGTTTTGGATTCAAGAGATAATTGTTAATCTCTTCTTCAGATCAGTGGAAAGAACATTAGTTCAGATCGTGCTCACAACCTAACCTTTACAACGTTTTCTGCATTCCAGGAGTGAACTTGGCCACCAAGTTTGCTTTGGGCTCTTTCCAGGCCCCCAGTACTCAGAACAATGTACTGAGTTACAGAGGCAGAGCGGAGAAGGGGTGGGGAGTAAGACACACACAGACTCCTCCCTGCGGAAGCATTAATCCCTGGAGAGTGCGGCAACATTTCGAATAAACAGAATTTGCCACCCCCTTGGCGTGACATGGAAATGCCTGCCTCTCAAATTCTTCTTCGAAAAAAGTTCCATATTCTACTGGGAAAAAAGAAAATGAAGAGCAACCAATAAAAAGGTATCCTGTGCTCACTCAGAAGAGGGCAAATGAGAGCGCCTTAAAAACTACATAGGTTTTCCAATCATCACAAAACTAAGACAATGTGACAATTCTATTTTTCTGTCAAGTGGAATCTACGGCATGATGGGAGCCACAATGGCAAGCGAAAGGATATGTTTAGACTGCTAGAGTATAGCTCACGGAACGCAGAAAGCAGTTGGTACATCGAGACCAATGTCGGATCACGACTAGCAGGTCTTCCTTTCAATAATCATTTTAAGTTTCTTCTGTAAGATGGTGATCCTCTGTGAGATCAGGTCAGGAGACGGTATGTCGGAGTTTCCCAAGGGTAAATCGAATGCCACTCCAAGGAACAGCCATCCCCTTTCTTAGGATGGAACTGTGCTGCTGTCATTCAACATGCAGGGTTCAGTGAGGGAGACACAGATAACACTGGCGCTAACAGCAGCGAGAGCAGGAGGAACAGCAGTTCCCCGTGTTCCCAATGCCTGGCCTATGCCCGCCCCCGGGGAACAGGATTCAGTAGCGCGTGGGTACATCATTTTGAAGAAGGCCTAATGAAGCAGCGGCTTCCACATGTTGACATGGGTTTGTAGTGATAGTGTCCTTTGGAATCTTCCCACCAGGGGCACCTTTGAAGGAAGAAGGGGGCCCAAGCTGAGTTCCACATGCTGAGTGAGCCAGATGACCTCAGTGCCCTGGCCACTTTCTTCGATGGGGCGGAGGGGGGCTGCCAGGTTTTTAAAATCATGCTTCATCTTAAAGCACACGGTCACTTCGCCCTCCTCACGTTGTGGGGTCACTTTGATGAAAATACCCACTTTGTCGGCCTTTCTGAAGGCTCTAACGTCAGGATCGTCCTCAAAGTCCTGCGGGTCCGCCAACTCGTCGTACGCAGCTGCGGCGTCCTTGCCCGCCAACACAAGCTCTTTGAGGCACCGCCACCATACCAGTGCTGTTGATATGATCGGGGCCCCCTGCGTCACACTCCGGCAGCGTCACGTGGGTGAGGGTCTCCACTGGATTCGTAAGAGTCAGGAGGACCTGGCTCTCCTTCCTGTAGTGAAGGTTGGGAATCGACATGATTCTCACTTCTGGGATATAATTGACAGCAACCGGTTGGATTTTAAATTTGATAGAGGTTGGATTCAATTCTGCCTTGCTCAAAGTATGTGCACATTTCCGGCAGCGCAGGGACCGTTTGATCAGAAGATGTTTGTGACGAGGGTAGAGCTGAGAAGCCCAGAGTGGCTGGAAGTCAGGCTGTAAAAAGCGCTGCTGAAGGCTGGTTACCTCTGTTAAATTTACTGGTCTTGTATAATAGTCTTCAGATAGAGGTTCCACTACATCTACAGCTTGAGCTGGCTCAATCTTTCTCTCTTTCTCGTCCTCCCCTTCTTTAAGGGAAAGTCCGGCAAGGGTGCTGATGGTAGTACCAGCTTGTGGTCGCTGGAGCCTCGTTCCAACACCGTATTTGTCCGAGAAAGCCAAAGGCATATAGTTTCGACGCCGTGCCAGTTTCTTGAGATCTCGCTCAACCTTCTCTTTCTGAGCAAGCTGCTGGTAATATTCAATCAATTTGTTCATCCGCTGAGCGTGAGGACTTTCCGGTTCCTGCCAACCACCACTGGCCACAGAGTTGTCTGCCATGCCCACATCTCTAGATGTCCAGCGACAAAACCCGCAGGCCGGGTAATAGGCTCTCTTCATGGTGGTCTTGGCTGGGTCGTCGGGAAGCTGTGTGGAGATGCTTGTTGCGCTGGTGGAGAGCGTGTGCATGCATCCGGGACAGTCAAAGCAGTTGGCGCACCTGTCCTTTTTTAGTTTGGCTTCCGCTGATGGCATATTTTCTAAGCAACTGGGACAATAGTGGGAGTCCACCTCGTGAGACACACATTCCTGCGACCGCAGCTCGTTACAATAGCGGCAGAAGGACAGCTGTGCGAGAGGGGCCCGAACCTTCTTTTCTCCCTGGACTAGGTAGAGAACCCGCTCCGATTGCAGCAAGGACACCATCTTGGAGAGGGAGGTGTCAACCAGATTCAGAGTAGTTTTAAACCTTGGTCCTTTTTAAACATAGGATTTGCAGATTGCGCTTCCTGCCGTCTTCATTGTCGCCTCGGGATGCACCTCTCTGTTCCTCCCATTTTAAGGATGGGTAGCCTGAGGCCCAGGTGGCTCCAGTAAGTTGTGTAAGGCCATCACCAGCAGGGGACAGCCTTTAAGCTCAGAAGGGTTATTTGCCCTCACAGAACAGTATCGCCTCCTTCTCACCACATGCCTTGTCACAGTAGTTCAGCTCTGCCTGTCTTCACCCATGAGAGACTAGAGAGAGTCCTTAGAAAATATTTTTATGTTCCATTTTCAATACTCTGGGCCTCTTCTATCCTGATTTCTATATGGTTTGTATTTGTTGTATTTCACTACATTGTATTGTTTCTATTAAAAGTAAGATACTGCCCTGACCGATTTGGCTCCGTGGGTAGGGTGCCGTCCTGCAAACCAAAAGATCTCCAGTTCGATCCCCAGTCGGGGCCCGTGCCTGGGTTGTGGGCTTGATCCCCAGTTGGGGTGTGCGAGAGGCAACCGATCAATGTTTCTCTCCCTCCTCCTCCCTCCTCTCCCCTCTCTAAATAAATAAGTAAAAACCTTAAAAACGAAGATATTAAAAATAAACTCTGATGTATTTCATATTATGAGGGTTTTTTGGGTGGAATACTGGTAGGATATAGTTTTTGTTGAGAAGAGTGGATTATTCTCCTGCACGTTTAATTCACGTAAATGTAAAAGTAAGGGTGAGGTTTTGGCAATATACTTGTCCAGCTGGGTAGACTCTAAGATCTATGGGGTAGTGAGTGTTTTCTCCTTCCTGTGCTCCTCAGGGACGGGTGTGAGAGGTGAGCTGCCTGGGGAGAGGATGCAGGACATGCCCTCGTCTCTCCAGGGAGCTGCTTCTGGCTCTGGGTCAGAATTGCCTGGGGAGCACTGACGTGTTGAATCTGCGTTCCCTCGGTAGGGATTCTGATTACATTGAACTGAGATGTGGCTTGATTTTGTAAGTAATCTTGGTTTTGTGAAGTTCCAGAAGATGGTAATGTGCACCCCCTCCTGAGGATCACTCTCCCCGTACCACCTGAAGAAAAGGGGCCTCTGGGACAGTCGTGGGTGATTGGACGATTAACATTTTGTGTGGGGGTGTTATTTGGTGATGAAAAGCTATATGTGGTCTTCAGACAGTATTTGGGAATAAGATCTATGTTTGTTTTAATGTGTGGGTGTGTACACACACACCATGGCCCAGCTGCAGGGATTCTGAACAAGCTAAGGCACCGTAGTGTTCACCCCTGTGTGTGGGGGGTGCACACACCCACATGCTTGCAGACGCTCACACCCTCCTGCTGGGGCTGACTTGTCTTTCCCCTTATCTCTAGACCACTCCCACTGGAGGAATTTCAGACTAGGCAGCACTGATCTGGCCTCAGCCCTCTGCCCTGAGGGTCGAGGACCCCTACCCCCATGCCTGTCCTCACTCTGGAATCTGCATCGTTGTCTTCTCCTGCTTTTACTCTCATGTCCACTCCGATGCCCCGCTTCTCTTTTGCTGCTGAAAGCTTTGGATTGAGCGTGACTAGGAGAGGAAAGCTGTAGCGTGCTGTCCTGTGGCCTCTGTCTGAATCTGAGCAGACAAGGATGGGGACAGCGCTGTGGCCGACGGAACTGGCCCGCTACCTGGGAAGGCTCCCGCTCCAGGTTATGAAGGAGGGTGGGGAGGTGTCTCAGGCCCAGGATTCAGGTACCTTGAAGGGAGTTCTGTTGGACTTTCCGCCCCCGGCCCAGAAGCTGAGCTCGCTGGTCCTGCTTTTTCAGGCTGTGCTGCATCTTTAGGACTTCATCTGCACATCCTACATGTGGTTCTCTCGTTGCTGTGAGAACTTCGTTTATCCTGCACCCAACACAAGACTATTAATTTTGTTTAATTTTTCCTTTCAGACATTTGATGCAAATGATTTGTATCAGGGCAAGGTCCTGACTTCCTTAATGACTCTAATAAAATAACAGCAGGTGAGACTTTTTTTAAAATTGAATTTGAGGCGGTAGGAAGACAAAAGGGCAAATCCTTTGCTTTTCTTTGATGAAGACAAAATGAGCATTACCAAATTCAAAAAATAAGCTTCTATTGCATTACATTTTTGGTTGTCACTTTTGCTGTGATACTGTTTTTTCTCACTGGAACAGAATCTTCCTTTTCAGGCCTCCAGGTGGGGATCAGGTGTTTCCCTGTCTGTGGGCAGCACAGTTACTCCCTGGAAATACAGCAGAGGAGAAATGCCTCATTCATGTGGCTCCAGTCATGGGTTGTCTTGGAGCTGGAAGCATCTTCCTCTGCATTTTTATTATGCCGAGTCAAACTCAATTTATGCAGATCTAGGGACTCTTTTAAAGGTGTGATCATGACAATGGAGTAGCCAGGGAATTGGCCTCTAAAGTAAACACCTGCCGGGCATGGGTTTCCTAAGGGCTAGGAGGAGACATACCCAGGGTGCTTGGTTTACCCTGTTCTGAGCCCCAGTCTTGTCTCATGGAGAAGGGAGGGTGGAGACAGGGTACAGTGGGACCCTCAGGGCTCCCAGATGGAAGTGAGGCCGAGAAGAGGTTCCATGCACATTCCTCTGAGAGGGGACACTCATCCCATGAGCTCCAAGAAGTACTATCTTGTGGATCTAAAAGGACTTAGTGGCTTTTTTATTTTAAAGGCATTTTTAGTTTTCTGTTTACAGATTTTAGTGTCAGATGTCAAGTGCAAAGTTAGACTTTGATATGGTAACAGGGCACATCCAGGGCCCCCCGACAAAGGGTATTTGTGACGGGGTCCAGAAATTGGGGTGTCCAAGAAAAATATATTCCCCCCACCCCCGGGCGGGCCTCCATGGGGGATGGGAGCCTTGAGCAGGGCCATTGAGAGTCAGTTTGCATGTCAATAACAGGATAGCTTTGGTCCTCCTATGCAAAAAGGGTTATTTTGTATATCAGGAAAGCTCATCAGGAAGGTTTAAAAGACTTAATACAGAATATAACTGGGAGAAGGAAGAGGAGAGCCCGGGGCCTGTGGGAGAGACACAGGGGCACAGACTCTGGGGAACAGTGTGAAGACCATGTGGGAAGAAAGAGGGGAGAAAGGACTCTTGCCAGTGGGCCATGAGAAGGTGCCACAGGGTTATGGATTAAGAGCTGGAGATTGGGGCAACGCAGCGGATGGTGCTGAGAACCGCGAGAAGGCCTCCTAGCCGAGCCCTGGACTTCCGTTCTTTTTCTTCTGAAGGATGGTCCCCCTGACTGGCCTGACTGGCCTAACTGGGCAAAGGGAGGAAGGCAGGACTGTGTGTGTGCTGGTGATTGTTTTAGAGGGGTTTTGAGGTTTAAGGGCAACATTTAGCCATCCATCCAACCTGCATAACTTTTGAATAAATAGTTCCTTTCCTTTTCACCAAACTCTGCCATTCAGAGCCATAATTCCAAGGGTGGCGGGCAAAGAACCCACAACCGAGAGACCCCGAGGAAGGCGGGTGTCGTCGTTTCGGTCATAGCATCTGGGCAACCCCCCCGCCCCGCAACGGGTCCATTTGTTCAGTAACAATTTGTGTCTCTTGATCAGAGACCTCATACGTTTATTTTGTCACGGCTTCTCCCCGCTTTTGTCCTGACCCCTCAGATGGGGTGTGCTCACCTTGCTGTGTCTGGGAGGAGCTGAGTCAGAACGCCCCGGGCTGCAGCCCTCGCTTGGAGGTCTCTGCACTCAGGAGCCGCCCCTGGGGCCGGCTGCGGCGCTTGTTTGCTGAGATGGCCACACACTACTTCCTGTTCTTCAAGGACAACAGGAACCTTGGGTTTCCTGGTGATATCTTCAGACTTAGTTGTTAACAACTAATTAATAAATTTTGTAAGACACTATGTAAACCAGTCCTACCATCTGCCAGGAAGATAGACCTGGAGCCCATCCGTTTAAGGATATTTTACAGAAGGCTCCTCATGTAGCTTCAGGAAATTGCTAGGCATGTGCGTCTCAGTGTTGGGAACTGTCCTGCCTGGTTTCATGGACTGTAGCCTTGCCAACAGGCAAGGGGGCCCCAAAGCTGGAGCTGAGCAAGGAGGCCTTGGAAAACTAGGCCACTGAGGAGACAAAACCTGTCCCCCTGGCAGGGCCACAGCCCCTGCCTCCCTCACATCACCATGCATGGCCAAGAGGATGGCTGGTTAGTCAATGGCGGGTAAGACCCCGCGATGGCAGGGGCAAGCTAAGACAGGCACAGTCGCACAGGGGCCATCAGGGAAGGACTTGGGGGACACGGAGAAGGGGCCAAAGACCCTCAACTCTCAGCTTTGTCGTGGCCAAGGTCTTCATTCTAACTGAAAGAAGTCTCCTTACCTCTTGGCTGCTCAGTGAAACGATACTAAAGGCAGGTACAGCTCTAAACTGGATTGGTCATTCCCAGGGACAGTTAGGCCTGGAAAAGGAATGCATTAAATCCTAGAAATCTTACTTTGCTAAGAATACCCTGAAGTTAATGAGTACTGATGAATGGGTGCCATCCTGTCTACCAGACCTTGACCTGAGGCAAACCTCTGTGTTTCTTCCATTGTTATGTATGATCTCTGTTTTCTGTAAACATAACCTTTAGGCATTGATTGATAAGCTTTGCAGGCACGCTGTCAATAAAAGCCATTGCAGGAGAAGAGCTCGGGGCACTCTGCACTGGAGGGAATTGCCTCCCCCTTTCCTGGCAGACTGAGAGTGTCTGGAACGACTTATTTCCTCTTCCATGGTGGCTGAGGGGCCTCGGCAGGGTGGGGTACACCGCCTCGTCTCAGGACAGTGGTTTCCTTAGAAAGCTATTCGTGGCCTCCTTTTAAAAACATCAGATTTTAATATGTTGAAGAAGTGGTTTGCTAACATATTTACTGGCTGGTCTAAGTGGTATTATCTCATTGTTGCTATTTTTCTGTGGTTGTTGATACTAAAAACAGTATTTTTCATCATTATTATAATGAAATTTACAATAGTCAAGACTGTGTGGTTGCTTATTATGTTCTGGTTATCACTAAAGTGCTTTTTTAATTTGTG